GAATAATTCGTTTTATTCGAATAAAATAAATGATTATTCGTATTCGGATAAAACAAATAATTTATTATTCGTATTCGTAATTATTCGATTAGATTCGAATCGAATATTCGAATTATTTTTGAATAGGCCTAGTGCATAGATTCGTTGTCATACAGTAACGGAAGTCTAGACATAATCAGGACCATGTTGAGTTTGCCCACTCTGTGAACTATCTTATAATGGGGAGCTCTCATGGCAATATTCCATTTTTGGAATCTCATCTACATTGAGGTGTTACCCTTTAATCCTTATTAAATATGTATATCAGTGATGTGATCCATTACTATTATGATCTTATGAGGTATTCGTGGAATCTTTTGATGGCAAAGATCATTATTAAAGCTTCTTGCTCTATGTTTTATAATGAATTTGGCTTTATGGGTCTTTCCTTACCACCTCCTTCTATGTGAAACAGCACAGCTCTAATCTTCGTTTTGGATGTGTCTGCCATAATGCTAATAGGTAGGTCAGGGTTGAAAAAGCTTAACATAGGAGGTTAGCTGATGAGCAGTTTCAATTCGTCAAAACTTTTTTATGTCCTTTGTCCCACACCCATTTGTGTCTTGCTCACAATTTTATAAAATGAATCAGTTAGTTTGGCAAAGTTGTTAAAAATTTGTGTTAGTCATGCCCAAAAATGTGGCACTCTTTTGATTTTTTGGGCATGTTGGTTATTGCTTTGATTTTATCAGCATTTAGATGTTTTAACTCAGTGGCTAAGTCATGTCCTAGGAATCTAATCTTGTCCTTCATAAATTCACTTTTAAGGAAATGTTTGACGAATTTTTCAACCTTAAAATGAGGTGTAATGAATACAAAAAAATTCCTCTACACCAAATATGGGGAAAATATTCTCTGATATTCCAATCCTTGAACAACACAGTGAACTGTTAATTATGCATGCTTCATTTTTGCAATACAAGCCCAATGCTATCATTAATCTTTTCTTTATTCAATAGTTAATAGATATATGAGAGGAATAGATTATCCGTGGAATCTACAAAAGCAATTATATGCAAAATACAATTTTAACTCATTTTATACCAACATTTATATAAAATTTTAGGGAAAAGGCCAAATGTAATATGAAAAATATCTGCATGTGAAAAATATGGAATAAAAAAAATGATTTGGTTTTTTTATATTTATTGATATAATATGTTGTCAAAACGTAATAGCAAATAATTAATTTTTTTAAAGGTAAAATTAATAAAGGTGAAAAATGTAGAAATAGAGTTTAGGGGATAAAAAAAGGAAGCTTGGAATATGGAAGGTTCAATGGAAGATATAAAACTTTGATAGTTAGAGCGAATAATGGCGGTAGCAAGCTTTTGACGTTAGAAGGATTACTTAGACTGATCAGTTTTTTCGCGAATCCGTTCGCCTAATTCATTAAAAAAACGTTGAGCTTTGCTACCGAAGGTAGTGAGAATGGAGCAGGCGATAGGTATGAATAAGAAAGAAGAGTCTAAGGAACGGTACTTGATGATTTTTCGAGATTATGCGAGAGCGAGGACATCGACGTTGTGGTTAGATGGTGCATATGGGCCAATGCAAGTGAAATCCCAAACCAGGAGCTGACCCTTGATAAGGGAATCAAAGACATTCCATCAGGACGTTTCCGTCTTTTCTGAAAATTCCGGTTGGTTCAAGTCTAGATGGAATGCCTACTAATTTGATGGCGCGTAGTATAATGTCGTTGCATTTGGTGTGCCGTGAAAAACGGCCTCGACAAAAGCGGCAATGGAGACAATGTCTACCCTTGCTATCGACACTGGTTTCGCAATGTTTACATTGGTACGGTAGAACAATTTCGCAATGTTTACATTGGTACGGTAGAACAATTTCGCAATAGAGCCGTAGTCCAATAGCAAATCTTAGCTCGTCAGCGGAGAGCAACAAGTCAAGGTTGTTAGAGGGTATGGTTTCCATCGTAACCGGATCCTTGGTTCAAATGGTGAAAACTGTGAGATCGTCATCGTGAAGGCTCGAATTTAGGTAAGATACAGAGCCTTTGTTGAATGGAATATCCCAATCTCTCTGTGAACATGAGGAGGGTCGTGGAGTATTTGGGACAACGGAATTGTCCCAAATGGTCTGGGCTTCAGCAAACAAGGGGTCAGAGAAGTTAGAAAGATGGCTAATGTGTGAGTCCGATGAAAGACGGGAGGCTATGAACCACTAATGGAAAGAGTTAGAGGTGAGCGTAAGCCGATATCCCCTAGTTTGTATGGAAGTGATGCTTGTAACCATGAATTTTGGGTAAAGCGGAGATTAAGGATCTCTTCAGCAAGAGATTTGACGGAGATTTCGAATGATTTTAAAGAGTCGGGGAATTTGAAAATTGAGGTGGATCGAAGGGCATAAAGAATTTTAGGAATGTAGTAAAAGTTTTTGAGGAGAAAAAAAGCTTGATGAGGAGGGAGAAACGAGATGTTTTTGAAATGAAGTAAGCTGGATGATGCTTAGTGAAGAAGTCATTTATGGATTCCAGACCACTGACTGGAGAGCCGAGATGAGTGAGGGATGAGAGTTCGGTTGTGTGGAAGATGTGGGTGAATGGGATGGAGCAATGAAATGGGCAAATCTCGGTTTTTTCTTAGTTGAGTGAGAGTCCGATAGCATGGGAATGTATTTTGATGATGGCGAGTGACTTAGCAACCTCGTTAGAGAGAATGCAGAGTATTCCGTCGTCAATGTACCCAGTGTGCAGTTGGAAAAAATGTTTTTGACCATTTCGTTAATTATAATGCAGAAAATCGAACCCAAAGGATCGCCTTGTTGGATCCCTTCTGATGATAAAATAGTTGTTGAATTAGAGGTGAGATGGCATGGAATAACAGGAATTGAAGAATTGAGAAAAGGTGGGAAGTGAGTGGTACATTTGTAGGAGAAAGTGAGAGCGGCGAATGGAGTTAAAAGCATTTTAACGAGGATTTCGTTACTTGGGTTGGTTTGGAGATGGATACGAGTAGCGTGTGTAGCTATTTCGCAACCATCTTGGATACCGATACCTAGGTGAGGTGCTAAAATTAAGGCTGTGTTGTCCTTAATTTTGGAAGATATTAGTTTAGCGACAAGACGGCGGAATACGGGCCCGATTGCTATTGAGCGGATGTCTTTATTGGGCTTTTCGAATGCGATAAGTTTAGTACCGAATAAGAGTGGTCTGATGGATTCGGAAACAAGTCCATGTGCTATTTTATTACAGAATGTTGTTAAATTTTGTAAAATTGGGATCTGGCTGTCTATGAGGGGGATGTAAGATCCTTGAAGATGGGACAAAGCCCATCATAACCGTGAGAAGAGTGGTGATGGAAGGATAGAATAGATTTGCGCACCTCGGTGGGGGGTAAAACCAGTAGGAAAAATATTGGGCGAAGGGAGTTTGTTGAAAATTTCTCGTTACTAGTTGCAAATGAATCATCAAATGCTAGTAAGCGAAGAGCGGATTTGATGTTTAGGTTGTTTATTTTATTAGAAATTTACTTTGCCTTTAATTGGAGGCTGGAAAGTTTTTTGGGTTCATGAGGAAATATTATGGTTGTGAGGGTGGGGGGATGTATAGTTGCGTCTTTGATTTGTTGGGTTAAAGATTTCTGAATATCTGGATTGGGAGGTTGGAGAGTCGTATATGAATTTAATCCAATTTTAATTATTTATTTTTAATCAGAGACTACAGGCCTGGCCGTAAGCCCAGGTATGTGGGTCAGGCCATTATTTACTTTTTCCAAATATACCCTAGCAGAGCCTATAAATTTTTTTAAAAAAATACCAGGGTTGGGCCTGAAATTTTTATAAAAAACACAGAGGTAGGGCCATATATCTTTTAAAAAATTTTTTTTAATCAATAGGGATGTATAAATATTTTTTATCGAATCGAAGCCGATATTTAATCCACTTTAAAATATCGGTTATCGGCCAATATTATAAAATTTTCCGATCCGATAAAAAATGGCGGTTTTAACAAAAATAAAATGTTATAAAATTTTTTAAAAAATTTACCCATAAAATCGAAATCTATTTTTATGTTTATTTTTTTAAATAATAATAATTAATTAATAAACATTCTGCCATATTGTTATTTTTTACGCATTCTGTTTATAAAAGTGTGCGATAATCTCTTCAGAATCTGTTTTTAATAAAGCTTGTGATATTGACAGTTGCCATTGTTGCAGGCTGACATCTGATAAATTGGAAACAATATTTCTAAAAAGAAATCTTTGATATATTAATTTTAAATATTTATTTCAAATTTCATATTATATTTATTTATTACTTATTATGTAAATAGATTAATGTTATTACTTATTATATAGATTGGTAATTTATCAATAAAAATATTTTATATACTTTTTGAATTGCAATTAAATTGAATATTAACTATAACTGATCATTATAATATATTTAAATGACATATGTTATGGTATAGCTTGATTATAGATGTTATACTAATGAAAAGTATATTAAAAATTAAAACCATTGGTATCTTTACAGAATACAAAATTAGATATGATATTGGATTGGTTATTGGCCGATATCCATTTAAAATCAGATCAGGTTGTCCTCCAAAAAGTGGTATCAGTACATCCCTAAAAATAAATATATTTAAAAAAAATCTGGGTCAGGTCATAATGGCACCTATACATGTCTCTGATGTTAATAATGCAATAAGAATAAATGATACTTCAATTACAATTTTTTAAATTTATTTTAATGCCTTATTTAAACTACATCAAAAACTAATCAGAATCTGGTAACCCTATCTAATGTTAATTATTTAATGAGCTTTTGTAACCATTACATGATTCAAATAATAGTAACATAATTAAACTTTTTTAATGTTAATTTAAACATTATACGTAACTAAGTGTACCCAACCCTGTTAATAAGCGTGTTGCATAAACATAAAAATTTGCATTTATTAAATTTGATAGTTAAGAGTAATTTTTTAATAGTACTGTATGATCTTCTGATATTTTTCTGACTAATACTTCACATATAAACTTTTGGTCATCTATTTGATCCAAATCATTGATAGAATTATATGAAATGACCTCCTTTTCCCTAAGAATTTGCATAGTTGCTCCTAACTTTTGAGCCATCCTTTTTAGAGTAATCTTTGATAATTCTAAATCTTTTTTACTCAGACCTTATTTTAAAATATTTCAATTTATTTTAAAAATTTAAGGGAACCTGCAAAATATCCTTGATCTTCCACACCCAATTCATATATAGCCTCTCCATTTCCTTCTCTTAACCTCCATTTCATTTGTGTAATTAAATTTTCTAATCTGGCATTGGTTGGATTAATGAGTTTTAGCTAAAGTAAATTTTAAATATCATTCTTTAAATAACTATTTACCTTGTATTCAATATTCCCCTCTTCTAACTATATCTTATCAATTTAGATATGAAATTAAAATATACTTACTTCAGGGGGCATACGCATACTGTATTTATATTTTGAGATTTTGGAATTATTCATTTCACATAATAGTGATAATGTGCTTCACATAAATATGACCGATTATGATATTGATTGCTAGATGTTAAAAAAAATTTCGAAATTTGTAAATATTTATTTTAGTGATAATTTTTTATTTCGATTTAAAATTCAAAATAAAAGATATACGCTATATATAAATTAAATATATATTTAAAAAAAAGGTAATAAAATAATATAATGTAACTAAAAATGAGCATGAGGAGGTGCATCTAGGTTATGGCATCGTGGATTGATATACTATGAGACCTATAAATTTCGATAATGACTGCTACTAACGCCCGTGATATTTAGTGAAAAAACTAAATATCACACCCTCGTTTATTAAATTTGTTTAACACCATGTTACCGCGATAATTAAAATCCTCCATTTTATAAAAAAAATGGATTTTATTTTCTAAGCTATTTTTGATACTTCTCTACTATAAATTTACTGATATGGAAAGTACAGAATAAGAAATAAAGGTAAATAAACAATTTATTTTTTATATATTAATTAAATATTCTCTGAACCCAGCATTCAGCATTATTGTTTTGTTTTATAGAATATACAGATTTATTTTATATAAATTATAATATAAATAATAGGTATTCTGGTTAGAGCAAAATATATTTTGATTCCACTTCTCTACTTACATAAATTTTCTGCTATGGAAGGCACAGAATTAGAAAGTATAAAGGTAAACTTTTTATAAATCTAATAATTAAACATGATATAAAGATATTTTATGCTATTCTATATACTTTGTCAGTTGAATTCAGTCCAAATGTTATCAATTTTATAAGCTAATTTCTGGCTTAGTTAATAGATTTTATAATATATTTTACAAATATCTTACTTCATTATGAGAAACTTTAATTCTATATTAAGTTATGCAATGAACTATTTTTTAATCTATTAAAGTCTGTTGACATCAATGTGAGGTATAGAGATGTTTAAATTTTTAGAGTCCTTTGCATTTGGTTAGTTGTAATATACACTACTATACATTTTAAATTTATTTTAGTGAATAAACTTGTTCATAATTATCAACCTGTCAAAATTCCATTTGTTTTCCAGCCAACAAGAACAGAATGGGAAAAATATCATTCTGATAAATTAGGCCTGAATTTGATTGTGTCACAAAGTACTCAAAATCATTATTTATTAAGCTTGGCGGATCCTGATGATATTGATCCAATTATAAGTGATGGAAATTGCTTTTTCAGGTATTTTTTTTAATAACACTTATAGAATCTATTCTAAATATTATTATAGATGTCTTAGCAAGGAAATCAGCAATGCTGAGCATTATCATGAAATGATCAGGACTATTCTGATTTCTTTTATGCTTCAAAAAAAGCACATCAACTTCTTTAGCGGGTTCATAGGGGATAGCACAATGGATTACATTGTGAAGAACAAAATGGGTTACAATGGTACATGGGCAACAGATATTGAGATTTCCTGTGCTGCAACATTGCTTCAAACTAATATCTTTGTTTTTTTAAATCATAAATGGCTTTTATTTTATCCATTATTTATTATTCCCGATATAAATAAATTTATTGGTTGTATCTATATAAGAAATTTAAATTATCATTATAGTTTATTTTTATCATGTAAATAATTATCAATTTATTTATAATTTTTTATATTTTAATAAAAAGTATTATCTAGTCAACTAATTGTATTTGTGCATAAAGGTATATTTGTTGAAGCCTATTTTTAACATGTAAATAAATTATTATCAATCCATTTCAATAACAGTTTTAAAATTTTTTTATTGTTTAACTCTTCAAATTAGGTATAAAAAAAACCCACATAATGGGCAAGATTATGTGGGGTCTATGTAATCCCTCCCAAGTTCCAAATAACCATTATAAGTGCTGAATAATCAAACAAAATTAAATTATTTTGAGATATATACTTTACTTACAAATATAAGATAAAAGATCCATACAAAAAATAAGTAATAACAATTTTTATACAATTAGCCTCATACATACCCCCCTCCATGCTATAAAGATTAAGTTTTTTTTTGTATTTATCATTTTAAATTATTTTATGAAAAGTAAAGAAAAATAGTTAGAATAATATATTATTAAATTTTAGAAGGTTAATTATCAGTTTTGACTATTGGTCATATTTATTAAATGTAAATATCTAATTTGAACAAAAAATGCAAATTAATGCCTTAGAAGTAGAGGCTTAAAATCAGTAACCAGATAATGTAAAAAATTGTAATTTTTATTTATTAAAAAAACTAGAGTCTTTGAGATTAATATATGGCAATTAAAATTTCATAAATTAATATTCTTTAATTAAATATTAGGGTGTTTTAAAAAAAACTTGGGTTCAAATTATTTTTTACAATTAATAAGCATAATCAAAATGTATTTATTGCATTTATAAACCCATATTCATATTTTTTTTAGTTTTTCAATTTGGATTGTTTGCTATAGAGATTGCGTTGTGCATACTTAACTCTAATTTTATAAACTTATGTTAATAAGTAGGTCTTCTTGGTATAATTACTTTATATTAGTTATTTCCTAATCCTTCCAAGCTTCCTAAATTTATATCATAGTTTTATTTGAAATATCAGAATTACACTGGGCTATTATTTTTAATAGAATTCAGCTGAAATTATTTTATGAATGATAAAAATATTTGAAAATATGGCTTAGTTTATCCTCTTCATTGTTACATAAAAATATTTAGATTATTAATATAAAATATTACATTGGTAGTTTTTCTCAAGTAAATAAAAATTATTATAAAAAATGGAAGAATTAAATTAAACACATATTTAATAAACGAGGGTGTGATATTTAGTATTTTTACTAAATATCACGGCGTTAGTAGCAGTCACGGCCTATAAATTTGCATTGAAATTCGTAGCAAAGATAACAACCTACCTGATGATCACTCTGATAATATGACCGTTTAATACTAACCTTTAAATTGTTTTTTTTATGTTGATATAAATTGATTTTTTTTTATAAATTGATTTTTTTTATATATAAATTTTGATATATTTTGTTATATAAAATAGATTTTTTTAGTTCAAAAGAGAATGTAAAATTTTAAAATATATATTGTTTAAATTTAATAATTTATTTAAATAAACAATTTCTATATAAACCAATCTTCTAAAGTACTTTATGGTGGCAGCTCCGCTACATATTCGAGGAAATCGTAAATAAATATGAAACAGATTCCCAATAATAATGTTAATATAAATATTTAATTTCCAATATACGCAGGCAATGGCGATCTTTTTTTGAGTAGATTCGAAGATATCTTCAAGGACGATCTCGGACATCGAAAAAGCAGGTTCCTTTACAAGAAGACTACCAGATGAGGTATATATCAAGCTTAAATCGATATGTTCACCTACCGACTTCATCAATCCATCGATATTGATTGAAAAATTCAGGTTATTACACTCGAGGAAATCTACAAGTTCCATCTTATTATTATTTAATGCAGCTGTACAAGGTAAAAACGAAAGTTACATCGATTGGGTAAGTAGATTATGTATTTTAAAAAATGAATGTTTGCTAAGTGATAGTAGAGTTATTGAAAAAGTAAAAATTTCGTCAATCAGCAAAAATATTAGGCAGAAAATTACGTTAAAAGAAAACATTACATTAGAAGAAGTTCTTACTTTAAGAGATGATTTTGAAGAGTTAGAATTGAAAAAAAATATAATTGCTAAAGTTGAAAATATTTCTTTAAACGAAAAAACAGAAGATGATACAACCGTGAAACATGTAGAAAGGCAAAGAGGCAGGAAAACAGAAGAAAATAAACAATTGGTGAGATATGGAGACCATGATGAACGACAAAATTTACAATCTAATTACGATAACAGACAACGATGGACAGCAAGAGGTCATGACTTTCAAAGAAATATTTATCAAGGAAATAGTTATAACCCCAGATATCAAGGAAATAATTACAACCCTAGATATCAGAATTATAACGCGAATTATTATAACAACGTCAGAGCAAACTATCCAGGATCGTACAATAATTCTTCGAAATTTCATAATAGAGCTAGTTATAATAAAAATGACTATAATAATAATAGATTTAATAATGATTATAATTACAGATATAACAGACATTATAACGATTCAAGATGTATTCAAAGATATAACGATAATCATAATATTGGAAATCGAGGAACAAATCAAATGTGCAATTGTAAATATCATAACAACGACAATAATCAATCACGATATACAAATAAAGTAAACACTGTAAATATAGAAAAGATAAAAGAAGACGATAATGATAAACTAGAAAGAAAAGAATATAATTTATACAATTTAGACATAAACAATATGGATACCGATAATAATTACACAGCTAACGATGCTTATAAGGTCACGGTATATTTGAACGACATGCCTATTTTGATGCAGATTGATACCGGATCGAAGTTTAGTATTCTACCGATTCATATCGCGAAAAAGATTGGAGTAAAAATCTTAAATAAATCAGATATTAAATTAACTGGATATGATGGAAACACAATAAATGTATTAGGAACTACCAAAGTCAAGGCAAAATTCGAGGACAAAAGTCAAATCTTAACTGCTTATGTAGTCCAGATTGATAAGAATGCATTGTTAGGAAGGACTTGGATAACAGTTTTTGGGAATATACTAGATAAATTCGTGAATATTGTCGAGGATGATTATGATAATACCATACAAGAATTAATCGAGCAATGTAATAATAAATATAATCGAGGAAAATAGAAAAGTAGATAGTTAAAATTATGAAGGTACATATTACAATAAAAAGTATGAAAATTATAATTATAAATATCATAATAAAAAAACTTGAATAAAATTGAATTATGTAACTTAATACCAAATGTTAAAAAAGAAATTAATTCTTATAAATTAGAAGAAATAAATCATTTGATAACAATTGGAGAAATAATAGTTATTAAAAACAATAATGAAATAAAAATTGAAGAAAATAATAAAATAAAATTTTTTATAATTAATAAAAAATTTAAAAAAACTTTGGAAAAGAAAATTAAAACAAGGGTGATTAAATGTCGCGATGTTGAAAGAGAGATTAGAAGTACGATATGGAGATAATATGTTGAAAATGTAAGGAGAAAGAGAAATTTTTTTATAAAGAACAAGTTAAAGAGAAATTATGATAGTGTTTAAATTGAAAAATAAAGGAGTAAAATTTAAAAATAAAAATAATTAAATAATAAATAAAAAAAGTTATTATTATATAAAATGAAACAATTCCAAATATTCTATTATGATTCTTATTCTTATGAATGATTCTGTAAATTATTTATTCCATTATCATTTCAATTATTCCAAAATTATTTTATTTGAGATATATTGATCATAATATATATTTACAAACATTGATAAAAATGATAATAAATAACGAGATGAACAAGCTAGTGTGAAGATGATGTTCAAGCGAATGATTAGATGATAAGGATAACAAGCAAAAATTAATGAAAAGATATGACTGAGGCTAAACAACAAGCAATGTTCAACTAACAACGTTTCAACAATAATGTTCAACCAACGATGTTTCATGATGTTCGATAATCGATTCAACAAACGATAATCAGATGGTCAAACAAACAATCTAAAGATATACAAACAAATGACTAATGGAGCAATTGAGAAACAAATGACTGAAGTGACGATAAGATTCACATGCAAGAAAAACCTGAGTGGAGATCATTTTTCAAAGGGTGGAATGTTAATATGACCGATTAATACTAACCTTTAAATTGTTTTTTTTTATGTTGATATAAATTGATAGATTGATTTTTTTTATATATAAATTTTAATATATTTTGTTATATAAAGTAGATTTTTATAGTTCAAAAGATTAAAATAAATATTGTATAAAATTTAATAATTTATTTAAATAAACGATTTCTATATAAACCAATATACTAAAGTAAAATATACCGTGACCTTATAAGCATCGTTAGCTGTGTAATTATAATCGGTATCCATATTGTTTATGTCTAAATTGTATAAATTATATTCTTTTCTTTCTAGTTTATCATTATCGTCTTCTTTTATCTCTTCTATATTTACAGTGTGTACTTTATTTGTATATCGTGATTGATTATTGTCGTTGTTATGATATTTACAATTGCACATTTGATTTGTTCCTCGATTTCCAATATTATGATTATCGTTATATCTTTGAATACATCTTGAATCGTTATAATGTCTGTTATATCTGTAATTATAATCATTATTAAATCTATTATTATTATAGTCATTTTTATTATAACTAGCTCTATTATGAAATTTCGAAGAATTATTGTACGATCCTGGATAGTTTGCTCTGACGTTGTTATAATAATTCGCGTTATAATTCTGATATCTAGGGTTGTAATTATTTCCTTGATATCTGAGGTTATAACTATTTCCTTGATAAATATTTCTTTGAAAGTCATGACCTCTTGCTGTCCATCGTTGTCTGTTATCGTAATTAGATTGTAAATTTTGTCGTTCATCATGGTCTCCATATCTCACCAATTGTTTATTTTCTTCTGTTTTCCTGCCTCTTTGCCTTTCTAC